GGGCTCTTTCGGTCATAGCTGCTGCCGAACTCTGTTAGCTGCACGGGCCAAATGAGACGGTTTTGACAAGGCAGGACATGGTGCATCAGTCAATTCTTCAAGGAGAACCTACGACCAAAGTAAAATAGAAAAAGACCAATAAGTACTTTTTGAAGATAGAAGAGTTGTTAGAGTTTTACCCATGAAGCAATCACCAGACTACTTCGTGTGTGAAACTCGGGCAACTTTCATTTCTTTCTCTCTTCAATAAGTATAATATATTTAAATATTCGAATCCTATACTTACTTCATCAACAATGACTGGTGCAGGTTTAAACAGGTCCTGGACAGCTTTAGCTTTCACTTTGGCTGAGACAATGGCGGCGAGGGCAGCTCCGACCTGTGCTGGATGGTTGTGACTACGTAAACTGGGCTGGAACATATCACCACGCTGTACCACGGTAGCTCGGCATGGATTGCTAGCAGGACGGGATGTGCACTGCCAGTCTGTAGCTGTGACTCGTCGCCGCTTCACGTTGAATGTGTAGCCTCTGCTATCCACCAACTTCACCCGTCCCTTTTTAGTCGAGTCTTCTACCAACTTCAATTGGGCTGGACACTGAGTTTCCGGCTGCTCAAGGATGGCTGGTTCTTCCAAGGACTCTTCCATGCTCACGTCTTCGGACTGTTCGTGTAGTTCGGGCTGGTTCGGTTGGTCTGCAGATTCGTCAAAGAGGTCTGCGGAGGCGTCAAATAGGCCATCTGAGAAGAAATGCAAAACAAGTTGTTAAAGTTTGATGATTATGGAAAATAATCGGAATCACCCCAAAATACCGTGACCTAGCCCCTTTAATTCTATTAAAGAACTCTCTCTACTATTAGAACGGCAAGAGGACAGTTAACTTTGATAACATCTTCAATCAATTAAAGTGCTACTCACCATCATCAGATCGTGTGCCTTCTGCTCCCAGCTGGGACCGGTATTCTCGACTCGCACATACGGGGCAGCACCAGTCGATACCATTGCCTTCTCTTACAGCGGCCCGGTACTCTTCTTGGGAAATGCCAGTGTTACACATACGATGATTCCAACGGTAACAGCCATCGCATTGAATAGCTTGTTGCCTGGGCCTGACCGGAGTTTTGCAGATAATACAGTTGATAAGTTGCGCGGAAGCCATAATAGTTGTCGTAGTGATCGTGTTCGAAGTAGCGTATTCATAATTGTGAATGGTCATAGATCAAATGATCGAATGGCCATCTAGGTTATCCATGTCTTTTATACAAGCAATCGCTTGGATTGGATAAATTAGACAATAGATTCCAATTAGCAAGTTTTTACAAACAATAAGTTTACACACCTATTGATATGATAATTAAACAAGCCCGCCCACCCACGCGCAAATGTTTCCTCATAGGTCCGCTACACAAAACATTAAAAAGATAAATCTAAACATTTGTGTTTCTTGATAATAAAGTTGGTCACTATTCTCAATAAATGACTTTTATACTGTAAAATCAATTACACTTAAATGTCCTTCTGCGCGCGAGAGGTGGGCGTGCAAACTCGGGTGTTCATGACACATGGAGCGTGCAAGTTTGACATGTGAGGACTGGGTCAGTTTTTTAGAACAGTTGAACGGATTAGAATGAGGAATTTGGTTATGAAAGAATGTTTACAAAGTAAAATACATCAGATCAGTGGACCTACGCAGGTTTGTTCAATAAGTTAAGTTAATTTGTAGAAAAGTTAGAGCGCGAGTCCGTTTAAAAGACAAGTAACAAATTACGAGTTGTTTGAGGGCTAATCAACTTTCATTTCGGGGCTAATCGACTTCAAGTTGGGGGCTAATCGACTTCTAGTTGGGGGCTAATCGACAGGGGGCTAATCAACCTGGGGGCTAATCGACCGGATACCCGATGAGCATGAAAGAGTGCCATATATGTTATTATACTTTCAATTGCAAGGTCAAAACAGCTAAGGGTCATGCAAGGAATATTGTGACAGTGATTACTTGCATGTGTGCCCTGATTGTAAGACCAAAGTCTGATGTTCTTTTGATGCCACCTCCTTACCATGTTCAGGTATATTTTCTAGAGAGGCCATGTGGCACCATGGGAAATACTTAATATGCATTTTACATGTATTTTCAGACAACAACCAAATATATCAAATAGATAAATATTGTTATTCTTGTCTTACTCAATTTATTTGTTATTTTCTTTCCACACTTATGCTATTGAAGATAGTTAGATATCACAACAACTATGGTAGACCCCAGGCTCATTTTGGGGGAATTATAGGGGGCTTTGTCAGGACATAAACACGGAGATGTACTATATGAGGAGTGATGCCTTAGGTAACTCAATCAACTTTCACAGGGCACAGAACTCTCTAGTATATCTCCCAATAAGTATAGGATTTTAGCAATCCTTCCATTGTCAGTTGTTTCTGTTTGACTTTCAGATTTTGTATTAAATGAACAGAGGTGTCTGCATTGGGAAGGTTGATTGATAAATG